TTTTTTAAATAACATTTTTCTTTTCTCCATCTTACTTTAATACAGGAGTACAGTATATAATACATATAATATACAAAATGTGTGTTAATTGACTTACCAGTAGGGTTCTGGTCAACAGAAGGCTGTCGTTAGTTAAATTTTGAGGTATTCAAAAGATATACACAAATTTTCAACTGCACAGGGGGTTGGTGCCCTGAACGCCCCTCATGTTGTTCAAGGGTCAACTGTACATTAAGGGATCATATACCATAATCAAGCAGGATTTATCACAGGGATGCAGGGATGGTTCAGCATTTATAAATCAGTGTTATACACCACATTAACAAAATCAGGGATAAAAATTACATAATTATCTCAGTAGATGCATAAAAAGCATTTGACAAAATTCAACACCCATTTAATATTATTTTTACAGAGAGCATGAGGAAGGGTGGGGGGGAGAGGCAGAGAGAGAATCTCAAGCAGGCTCCACACCTAGCACAGAGCATGAGGCCCAGAGTCATGACCCTGAGATCATGACCTGAGCTGAAATCAAGAGTTGGATGCTTAACTGACTGAGCAATCCAGGTGCCCCAACACCCATTTATATTAAAAACTCAAAGTGGGTATAGAGGGTACGTTCCTCAACATAGCAAAGGCCATATATGACAAGCCCGTAGTTAACATCATACTCAATGGTGAAAAACTGAAAGCTTTTCCTCAGAGATAAGGAATAAAACAGGGTTGTCCACCCTGTTTGCTACTACTTTTTGTTACTACTTTTATTCTATAAGGTATTGAAATTCCTCACCAGAGAAACAAGGAAAAAAAAAAAAAAAAAAAAAAAAAAAAGGTATCCAAATTGGAAAGGAAGAAATAAAACTCACTATTTACAGATGACATGTTATATATAGAAACCCTTAAGAGTGCACCAAAAAAAGTGTATTCAGTAAAGTTGCCAGATCAAAATCGAAATACAAAAATCCACTGCATTTTTATACACTAATAGTGATCAGAGAAATTAAAGTAATCCCTTTTATAATTGCATCAAAAGAATACCCTGGAATAAATTTAACTGAGATAAAGGACCTATACACTGAAAACTGTAAGACAGTGAAGAAAGAAATTAAAGATGACACAAATAAATGGAAAGATATATAGCATGCCCATAGACTGGAAGAATTAATGTTATTCACACTACCCTGAGCAATCTACAGATTCAGTTCAGTCCCTATCAAAATTTCTTGTCAAATCAAAAATCCCTTTCAAAATCCTAAGATTTGGGGCACCTGGGTGGCTCAGTGGGTTAAAGCCTCTGCCTTCGGCTCGGCTCGTGATCCCAGAGTCCTGGGATCGAGCCCCACGTCGGGCTCTCTGCTCAGCAGGGAGCCTGCTTCCTGCTCTCTCTGACTGCCTCTCTGCCTACTTGTAATCTCTGTCTGTCAAATAAATAAATAAAATCTTTAAAAAAAAAAAAATCCTAAGATTTGTATGGAATCACAAAAGACCCCGAATAGGCAAAGAAATCTTGAAAAAGAAGAACAAAGCCGGAAGCTTCACATGCCTTGATTTAGAACTAAATTACAAAGCCACAGTATTCATAACAGTATGGTTTTGGTGTAGAAACATACAAATACCACTGGAACAGAATAGAGAGCCCAGAAATAAACCCATATATATATGGTCAGTTTACAACAAAGGAGCCAAGAATATACAAGGGGAAAGGATAATAAATGATGCTGGGAAAACTGGACAGCTACATGCAATGGAGTGAAAGTGGACTACTTTCTTACACCATACACAAAAATTAACTCAAAATGGATTGAAGACTGGAACCTAGGGCCTGAAACCATGAAGGTCCTAGAAGAAAATGTAGGTAGTAAACTCTTTGACATAGGTCTTGTCAGTGGCTTTTTGACTCTCTCTCCAAGGCAACAAAAGCAAAATTAAATACGAGGGATTACTTATAACCAGAAAACTTCTGTATAGCAAAAGGAATACAATGAGAAGGCAACCTACTGAATGGGAAAAAATATTTGCAAATAATACTTGTTAAGAATTTAATGTCCAGAATATATAAAGAACACATACAACTCAATAGCAAAAACAAAAAACAACAATCAGTTCCATTGTTCCATTAAAAAAAAAGGGGGGGGGGAGAAGATCCTAATAAACCTTATTTCAAAGATGAGATACAGCTAACAGGTACATGAAAAGATGCTCTACATCACTCATAAGGGAAATGCAAATCAAACCACAGTGAGCTATCACTTCACAATTGTTACAATGGCTGTTACCAAAAACATAAGAAATTATAAGTGTTAGAGAGGATGTGGAGAAAATGGAAACCTCGTGCACCATTGGTTAGAATGTAAATTGGTGCAACCACTGTGGAAAACAGAGCTACCCTATGACCCAGCAATTGCACTACTGGGTATTTACATGAAAGATACAAATGTAGTGATCCAAAGGGGCACCTGCACCCCAGTGTTTATAGTAGCAATGTCCACAATAGCTAGACTATGGAAAGAGCCCAGATGTCCATCAACAGATGAATGGATAAAGAAGATGTGGTACATATATACAATGGAATATTACGCAGCCATCAAAAATGAAATCTTGCCATTTGCAATGACAGGGATGGAACTAGAGGGTATTATGCTAAGTGAAATAAGTCAGTCAGAGAAACACCATTATCATATGATCTCACTGATGTGGAATTTAAGAAAACGGGATCACAGGGGAAGAGAGGGAAAAAAATAAGATGAAACCAAAGAGGGAGACAAACCATGAGAGACTCTTAATCATAGGAAACAAACTGAGGGTTGCTGGAAGGGAAGGGGGTGGAGGGATGGAATAACTGGGTGATGGACATGATGGAATAACTGGGTGATGGACATTAAGTGATGTAATGAGCACTGGATATTATATAAACTAAGGACTCACAGGCTTGTACCTATGAAACCAGTAATATATGTTAATTGAATTTCAATAAAAAATGTTTAAAAATTAAAATAAAGTAGAACTACCATATGATCCAACTGTTGCACTTCTGTGTATTTTTCTGAAGAAAATAAAAATAACTAACTTGAAAAGATACATGATCCCTGTGTTCATGGAACATTATTTACAATAATCAAGATAATGGATCAATGGATAAAGACAATAGGTTTATATAATGGAATATTATTCAGCCACCAAGAACGAAATCTTGCCATTTAGAACAAAATGGAATTTGAGGGCATTATGCTAAGTCAGAGAAAGACAAATACCATATGAACTCATTTATATGTGGAATCTTAAAAAAAAAAAAAAAAAAACAAGCCAATCCAAGTTCAAAGATACAGAAAAGAAATTGGTAGTTACCAGAGGTGTGGGATCGGAAGTGGGCGAAATATGTGAAAGAGGTTAAAAAGTAGAAACTTGCGGTTATAAATAAGTCATGTGGATGTGACTATAGTTATATATAGCATGGTGACTGTAGTTAATACTGTACTAAATATTTAAAAGTTGCTGAGAGAATAAATCAAAAGTTCTCATCACAGGGAAAAATTTTTAAAGGATGTTTAGACTTACTGTGGTGATCACATCACAACAGATACAAATACTGAATCATTATGTTGTACAGCTGAAATTAATATGTGCCAATTATACCTAAAAACAAAAAACAAAAAAAAAAAACAACCAACCAACTCCACAAAGAATGCATGGTTCCCCTTGCCCCACATTGGCCTGTGCCACCAGTCTGTTTCTTATCCTCTCTCATGGAAGCCGAAACAGAGTATGACCTGAAAATTCTTGAGTACAGACGGTGTTGCTTTTTCTAGGTTTAGTGCTTGCTACCCAGCTTTTCAAACTAAACATACTGTTCAGATATGCATACATGCATGCAAAAAGACAACACAAAATTAAAGATAATGTCTATCCCTAGAGGGAAAGATGGGGTCTGTTACTGGGAAAATACAGGAAACTACTAACAGGGCTCCCACACCTGGCTGCTCAGGTTGCTCACTGCACAACTCTAGGGGATGCCATTCACATAAAGTCTATTTCCTCAAGTACTGGAGAGAATCCATTTCTTTACTTGATGCTGGGTACATAGGCATTCATATTCGTTAAAAATTATACATTATTATTTCTCTACAGAACAATACATACCTCACTGCTTGCAACAGGAGTTGGCAAACTTTTCTACAAAGGGCCAGGTAGTAAATACTTTAGGCATTATTACACATAAGGTCCAACTATTGAGCTCTGCTGTTATAGTGTAAAAGCAGCCACAGATGATATATAAATCAGTGGGTGTGGGGTGTGTCTGTGTTCCAGGAAAACTTTATTTACAAAACCAGGTGGCTGGAATAGGTTTGGGGCCAGTTTAACAAACCCCAGATTACACAATTAAACCTTTAAAAAATTGATCTGTGGTTTGTCCGGGGGACTGAGGTTGGAGCCTGAAACAAAGAATTCACTGAAGGTATCATAGGAAGGTTGGTAATGTAGCCTCCTGTAGTCTGTGTGTGTGTGTTTTTTTTAATAAGTTATAACTGTGAAAATGTTTGATCTAAGCCTGACTTTTTTATGAACTTGGGGGCTTTGTCCTCTATAAGATATTGAGAGCAGACTGCTGCTCAAATGTTGATTTCATTAAGGAAACCATTTTTAGCAAAAGTATCCAAACTATTTCTTCATTAATAGCACCAAACCTAGCAATACCACCTGTCATTAACTGATCGTTAACCAGAAGTCAGACATGATGCCAGGCATTTGACACACATCTATTTTCCTCACAGCAGGGCTTCAAAATAGGTTTTTTTGTTGTTGTTTGGGGTTTTGTTTTGTTTTGTTTGGTCTGCATTTTGCAACTGAGAAAGGCTAACTTTTTCTAGGTCACAGAGTTAATAACTCTGAGATTCAAGCCAGAGTTGTCCAGCTTCAAAGTCCACAGTCTGTTTTCTACAGCATAGTATTGCATCTGTAGAAGGCATCCTGTTTTAATGCTGCCCAAATCAATTTGGTTTTAGATTGTCTTCGCAGTTTTACTGACTTAGAAGAACTTGATGAGACAGAATTATATATGTGCCACAAATGCAAAAAGAAACAAAAATCCACTAAAAAGTTTTGGATTCAAAAACTACCCAAGGTAAGTACTGAGTTTCAAATTATAAGGCAGTTTTGAGGGGGAAAATGTTTATGATTGATGAGAAGATAAATCATTTTTATAACTTTAGCCTATGTAATCTGTTCTTATTGGTCTCTTGAGTTGCTAGTGAAAGGTAAATAAGTCCTTTGAGAATGCATAATTAATGTGTCCTGATCACAGTTTCCAACGAGTGAGTGGAGGGGTGGTTTCCCACCACACCATGACTGTGCAGCAGTGGGGGTCCTACAATTTCCCACAACTCTCATACTGTCTACCTGAAGACAGCGATCAGATCCCACAGGGTCAGGTCTCAGTCCCCCAAGACTGCCTCTGCTTCAGAAGCCAGTCAAAAGCCCAGCTTACTACTTAATGCTTCTGACCAACAAGCTACAGGTGTGTATGAGGAGATGCGTCAGTGGAGTCTTGAACAGAGGAGCTTCCGTCCTTGTGGAGTTTGAGGCCCGGCATCGGCCTCCAACTGTTCTGGTTCCCCATCTGGAATCTCTCCAGATCCTCCTTTTGGATTTTTATGACAGTTTTATTACACAGGCATGACTGATTAACTCACTGGCTATTGGCAGTTCCAGCGCCTCTCCCCTCTCTGGAGTTTGGGGGGCACGGGGAGAGACTGAAAGTTCCAACTCTGTAATCACAGGGTTGGGTCCCCTGGCAACCAGCCCCCATCCTTAGGTGCAGACAGAAAAGTCATCTCATTAACATAATAAAGACATCTTTATGGCTATCACTTAGGAAATTCTAAGGGTTTCAGAGCTCTGTGTTAGGAAAGGGAGATCAGGACCTATTTATTTATATATATATAAAGTTTTTACTTTAATTCCAGCTCACTAACATGCAGTGTAATATTAGTTACCAGGTGTTATATTATAAATCACAACACCACAATAAGGTATGTAGAAGAAAATACTATCAGGGTTCAAAAGATAAACTGATAGGCCACCTAAAATTTCATCAAGAGACATTAGTACCAAGTATTTAATTTTATTGAGATGTTAATTGTTTATAATCTTTGTCTGATGTATCTCTCATCCAGGTGCTATGCTTACATTTGAAACGATTTCATTGGACTGCATATTTAAGAAACAAAGTTGATACCTATGTAGAATTTCCCCTGAGAGGCCTAGACATGAAATGCTACTTGCTAGAGGTAAGATCAATTATCTTTGTTAGATGGTGAAAAGATGACTTTTCAGGAAAATCAAGTCTTCACATTGAGGTAGGACATAGGTTGTCATTAACCACTGCTCCTAACTCAGTCCTGGGTTGTCTCCTTCCTTGTTCTATAGCCTGAGAACAGTGGCCCAGAGCACTGCCTGTACGACCTTGCCGCTGTGGTGGTTCACCATGGTTCCGGGTAAGTGTGTCAGTGGCTTCTCATGCTTGGAAAAAGCACGGTGAAGAGCAGCAGTCTTGCACCACGCTTGATAATTCTCCCTCAACTCCCTAAAAAATGGATTCAGATACATTAAAGTGGGTCAAGTTGAATTTTCTTTCAATTGTGGTGTGAAAGAATATTCTTGAAAGGATGTTGTGAAGGAAGAAGGCACATGAAAGCAAAGGGAGAAGGATTCATTTGATCTCCACATGCAGAACCCAAGCTATTTGTCCACAAAATCCTGAGTAGTCTTTACTCCAGGGTTTTTTATTTCCTTTGCCAGGTGACATTTAAATTGGGGAAAAATGGGAAATTATTTGGAACTTACTTCATGTCATCTATTTTAAAGATTCCTTTTTTATTTTACTGAATTTTTCCCTAAAAATTTTATTAGTTTATACCTTCTGATTTCTTGAGATTCACTATTTTACCTTCAAATGTGGACAAACCCCTATCCATGTTGAAATCCGTTTTCCCTCAGAACTTTGTAGATGTTGCTCCCTTGACTTCATCATTCATGGTTACCAGTCTGATTCTCATCCCTTTGTAGGCAGCATTTTTTCCTCATTGGAAGGTTATAAGATTCCTGTCTTTGGATTTAGGAAATTGAACTAAATGTATTCCTGGCGTGGTAGTTGATAGGAATACTCTTCATCAGTGTCTGCAGCTCATGGAATTAGTATTTGTCCCACTCCCTTCTCTACTTTTTCTTCTGGAACCCTTATTACATGTACAGCAGCTCCCATCTGTACAAAAACATTATAAGACTCCCGGTGGATGCCTGAAACTGCAGACAGTACCAAACCCTATATAGAGAATCTAATTTTTCTTATACATATGTATTTGTGATACTTTAATTTATAAAAAATTATAATTTAATATTAATTTTAATTGTGATAGTGTTAGCTTCTGTTGACTTTTTGATGAGATGTTACAAGAAGGATCATCATCTGGACCACGGCTGACTGTGGGCAACTAAACTTGGGAAGCAAAGCCAAAGATGAGGGGGACCTCCTACATAGTGAATTTTCTGGTTCTTTCACACATTTTAACCACTGTTTAATGATTTCCATCTCTGTGTTTCTGAAGACTGCCGTGGCCTGTTTTTCCAAAATACCAATTTGGATTTCATCTATATCCAAATTAAAGATAAGCTCCTCTGTGAAATGTTTAATAGTGTGGCAATCCCATTTTTCTGATAACTTCCTTTCATAAGAGGAACGATTTCGTTTTATGGTTGCAGTATCTTTTCGAAACCATTGATATTAATTATAATTTTTAAAGCTCTATGGTTTTCTACATTAAATTTTTTAGTCATTAATTGCTTTACTTGTTCTTCCCATAACTTCTCTTTCATACTATCCACACACCCCCTTCCCCCAGGGTTTTGATGATTTTTGGCTGTCATAATAAATGAGGAGTGTGATCATTATTGGTAAATGGTAAGGGTTTTTCTAGCACTTGTGGGGTGTCTGTTTACCTAAGGCTTCTCTCCTGCTGGGAGGGCTGACTCTAGGGCTCCCTGGGTGAGTGCAAAAGCACTTGCGGAGGCACTTGGGTGGCTCGGTTGAGCGACTGCCTTCAGATAAGGTCATGATCCTGGAGTCCCAGGATCAAGTCCCACATCTGGCTCCCTGCTCAGTGGGGAGTCTGCTTCTCCCTCTGACCCTCCCCCCTCTCATGCTCTCTTTCTCTCGAATAGATAATTAAAAAAGAAAAAGAAAGAAAAAGAAAAGTGCTTGTGGGCCACAGTACAGGGAGGGCGCTTCCGTGGAGGCAGATTGCTTTCTCAAGCTCAGGTTTTTTCCAAGGCTCTGATGGAAATCTGTTCTTCATTGGTCCAGGTTTCCCTGCGCCTTGACCTATGCTTGTTAGGGCGAGAGTGCTTAGCTCTTTGGTTTCTCTGTTAACCCAGTGCCAGAGGAACACTGCTTTATGTGTTGTAGAAAATCTTCAGCTTCTAGTCATTCGATGGCACTCTTTCCTGAATTTCTAGTGTTGGTATATTCCTGGTCATTTCAGTGGATTTTGAGGAACATAAACACCTGAGCTGATTTTAGTCAGCCATCTTAAACTACCAGTCTCTAGGGTATATTCTCTATTACAGTACTTCTAATTTATTGTGTATCTAACAAATTATATGATTGCTCAGATCCTTTTGTTACTTCTGTAGCTCTTTTCTTTCATTTTTTTACTTTCCCTTCCAGGGTTGGTTCTGGACATTACACAGCCTATGCAACTCATGAAGGTCGCTGGTTCCATTTCAATGACAGTACTGTAACACTGACTGATGAAGACACCGTTGTGAAAGCAAAGGCCTACATCCTTTTCTATGTGGAACGCCAGGCCAAAGCTGGATCAGATAAACTTTAATACCTCCTTTAAATCATTGTTTTTGTCAAATATACCGGACAGACATTTCCAATTTTCCATAAATACTTGATCCAAGATTTGATTTCATTATGCACTTTTCAATTTCCTATTTTGGGTTTAGTTTTATTTTGTCAATGGTAGTGACGTATTGAACATGGGCACCAACTAATTTTTTTTTTTTTTTAGTTCTACCAGAAAACCTCAGCAGATATTTTGATTTGCTGCTTTAGTTGTAATAATTCAGTTTTTTATGTAGTTTCAAGAACTTAGTTCTATTTGACTTTTTTATATTAATGTTTTTGGTTCTCACTTTGAGGCACATTTACATCAATGCTGTGTTACGTTCACATGCTGAAAGCAAGATGTGTTCCTGATTGGGAAGAGCAACAGAACGCCTGCTGCCTTTCACAGCTGTGATGGAGATCAGGTTGATGGGAGAGCCAGGATCATGTGTGCACAGAACTTGTGGCCCACGGGATTTCAGTGACTGCTCCGTAATCGTTCCTTTTGATTGTACAAGAGAACTGGGAGGGCATCATTAAGCAGGTCAGGTAATTGCTGCTCTTAGTAGCTCTCAAGGTTGCTGTTTATCAGCACTAACTAAATAAATTTGTTGGTTCAGTTGTACCTGTACTGCAAATTCAAGAATTACTCCTTTTGAGTTTGTTTTGTTCTGGAATATCTTTTGCGTGTGTATTTGTGTTCATGGAGATAGGAGTACAGAAAAGTCCAAAGAAGACCAAACACATTCAGTGTTTAAAAATCTCAGACTCCGCTACACAGTGTAGATATTATCCAGTGAGAGGAAACCATAGCTTCTGTTTGCCTTTTGAACCAGCATCTAGTTCCCCCACTGGCTATCATGCTGGGAATAACTGTCCACTTTTGTCTTATTTCTTGCTCGGTCATCTGAGGTCAAGATACTGACCTCCAGAGTAGATTCTGACCTTCACCTACATTTTAGGTAACACTATGGGGTCTGCTCCTCCAGAAGGAGATTTGAGTCTTTGCTCCTTTGGTCTTTAACAACCCTCACCTGCCTAACCTGATAGCAGAGCCAACTGAAAATATTCTCACTTGGAATAGTTTCTATTCTTGAGTTTAGTAGTCTTTGTTTTAAAATTGTTTTCGAGAAAATAGGTATAAGCACTATCAAGATCGAACCCAAGTTGAAATTTGGAACCGGAATTATATCTAAAGAAGGTAACTGATTCTGCAAGGGGTCTAAGCCAATCTCTTGGTGGGGTAGGTGTGGGGGGGCAGTACTTGGCAGGTTGTGGAGAGCAAGTGCGCGCGCTCCCTGATGGGCTCTAGCATGGGACCGTGCACTGCTGTCGTCAGCACATCTCTTGTTCCAGTCACTAGTTTCTTCTCTGTTCTCTCCAAGTTGTTATGAGGGGCCGAGTGTCTTTCATATTAAGCCAGCCAGCTGAAATTTTTGGTAATCTTGTTTCTTCTATTAAAAGAAAAAAAAAGCCAATTTTTTTTTTTTTTTTTTAAAGTGCATGAATAATCTGATGGCTGTCCTTCTGGGTCAGATATTTGAAGTTGCAGGAGCAGGTGTGGCTCCATTTCCATTTTAATACTCGCTAGATAAATCCTGTCTTTTTCTCAGGGCAGAAATCAGCAGCTAAACACTTCACTAACCACAGTTATGGCTCAACTTGTACTATCTGGTACGGCAGTCACTAGTCACATGTGGTTAAGTTTTAATTAAAATGAAGTTTAAAACCCAGTTCTTCGGGCACACTAGCTACATTTCAAGGGCTCAGCAGCCACATGTGGCAGAGGAGGCCTAGGCTCGGGCGGTCCCGTCAGCATGTAGGACTCCCGGACTGCGCCGTCTGCATTTCCACTCCAGAGAAGAAAGCTTTGCTGTCATGTTTAGGTCTTACAACTTAGACACGAAGTCCAGAAGATAATTAAGAGGGAAACATGTATTGAAATTAGTTTACAATGCTAAATTATATGAGGTTGAACCATAAGAGATTGTGATATTTAACCTTTTGATCTAAAAGTGAAAGTTCCACATAATATAGCAACACATTAACACCACATACAGTTGAACTTAAAATGTGCCTCTTCCTTGATCTGTTCAGTATCTCCTGTGAATACAGCCTTTTTTGTGTAGAAGGCATACAGCTGTGACTTCTAACATTAACACTTCCCTTGTTTCTCTGAGTGGGCAGCTCAGAGGACTTCAGCAATGTAGCCTTGGGCAGTGTTGATATTGGTGGAGAAAAATGGTCTTTTTATACTAAAGAGAACTTCCCGACAGCCAGACTACTTTGATGGGGAAAGTGGTCCTCACACCGGCAGCACTGCTGGCTTAAGAGTTGGACACATCTCCTCTTTGAATTTCTGGAGTGTTTTTATTGCTTGATTTCACTTAAGCAGATATGTTTGAATGACATTATGAAGGCTCCTTTGGAAAAGTGATTGGATCCATTTGAATTGTGCATTTGAACACCAGTGATGTAAATGTGCCTATTTGTATTTAAAAAATTCAACTGTGTAGCCTTATCACACCTATTTTAAAAAGCTGATCTTCCTGTGCTCTTCAGGGCTTTCCCCTGGGGCCATGCTGGCTCTGCGTGGGTGGCTCGCGCAGAGACCGCAGCCGAGGCAGTGCCTCGCTCTGGCAACTGGCTCCCTGGAACAAGAAAACTTCCTCAGAAGTCCTCCCACACAGGTGGGTGATGGAAACAGTTTGTGGCAACACAAATCTCTCTCCATGGTGGAGAAACCTTTGCTTATCCACTGTATTCTACTCAGTGTCTAGTGATGACATATGTAATAGAATTAAATCAGTAAAGTGTACAGGCCCTGGTTAAGTGTTAAATGTGTATCTCACCCCGGGAACCTACTCAGCGGCGTGGTTTCTGGGGTTGGGGACAGATTTATTTCTAAAAGCCAAATGTCTCTTTCATTGGTTGAGCGTACATAAGTTTATTTAGATATACTTCTCCCACCGCAGCCCCCAGCATCCCCTCCGTTCCCTCCCACACCCTATTGCTGCCGTGGCCTCTCCACTTGGGCCCTGGCAGGGCTCAGGAGCAGCCTGTGCTGCAACCGGGGCAAGGGTCCCGGGAGACCGGGGTGCAGCCACAGGAATGTGCCCACGGTGCAGGAAGAGGCTGGCACCCTTGGGTGGGGGGGTGCCGTGGTGCTAGGTCCCCACCTCGCGCACTGGGGTAACCCAGCCCTTGGTCCCAGCGATGGGCTCCGGACCCTCCCCGGCCAGTGCTGCCTGGGTCTCCGGTGAGCATCCGCCGTGGAAGCCCAGTTTGTACGACGCGAGAGGATTATCGGTGCAAGCGACTGACCGCATTTACCTTGTAATCACAGCCCTTTTCTGCTTCACCAACCTGAACTCTTTTATGGATGAAAGTATCATTAAAGTTCTGGTCTCTTTCCTCTTGACTATTATTTCTCAACTCCTTTCAGGGGAGCCAAGTAAATGATGGGGTCCTTGCTCAGGGGACGGGCCTGGGCAGTCAGCAGCACTAAGTCCTCCCTCCCCCGGGGGCCTCGGGTGTTCAGGCCGGGATGAGGCAGCCTGGAGGGGCAGGTGGTGGCCAGAAGGGTGCCCTAGCGCCTATGCCGAGGTCCTGGGCAGGCGACTGGGGCACTCTGGAGGCCAGGGACATCATCCTGCCGCTCTCCTCCAACACGAGGCCGGCTTGACTCCTGCAGAGCTAGACCGCACCCGAGGGACCAGCTTTGGGGCTCTGTGCAAAGGCTATCGGTCACCTTTTAAAGTCAGACATGCAGTAAGTGCCACCGGTAAAAAATAAAGATTCTGCTTTTCAGTAAGTTGCTATATACGACCTGTCCCCATTGTCCCCTACAAACAGGAAAAAACAAGAACCACCCTCTGCTGACAGCGGTCATTTTCCTGTGGTACGTATTTGCCTGCTCCGCTCTGTCTTTGCGAACAGGCAGACGGTTTTGCCTCCACGTCCCACACAGCGCGGCTCCCCGCGGAGGCCAGTCAGAGGCCCTGGGGCTGCTGTGGCTCGGGGCAAAAGTGCTAAGTGTTGTCAGCACCACTCTAGCGGCCCAACCCTGCGCTCCCCCACCCCCTGGGCAGCTGCACTCAGGCCCTGCCCCGCCAGAGCCGGTCCAGCCGCGCTGTGCGACTCCGGTGAAAGCTGCCACGCCGCGGGGATGGCCCGGTGGCCAGCCTTTTAAGAGGCTGAGAGAGCTGCCCATTTCCAGAGGTCAGCACACTGAAGAGTACTGGTTTGGACAGGATTGGGGAGGAAAAGTGGAGATAATAAGGCTTTCTATTAAAATCCATCTGAGGTGCTGCGGTGTCCCTTTTGACCGAGTAAGTACGAGAGCCAGGGAGGGGCGTCCGCGGTCTCTTGAGCCATTAAAATGGTCATCTGCAGTATTAGCAGTAGCTAGTTACCCCTTCCCTAAGAACTGCTTCCTTTAGCTGTTTCTTGGCATATGTTGTTTTTAAGAAAAGTCACTCCTTCCCCTTGTCATTGCTGGGGTAACCAAGCACCCAGGACCCTGGAGTCTGGTGTCTCAGAGGGAGTTGGCTGCTCTTGCCTTAGCTGCCTTGTGCTTTGAAAGGCAAAGCTGCGCTGGGACGACCAAGCCTTAGTGCCAGAAGAGGGGCCAAAACAGCTGCTTCGAGGCCTTACTCCACACAACTGGACACAAAGTATTCCCTTCCTTCCAATTCCAACCAAATAGGAGAATGAACAAAGGTCACCACTTAGGTGGTGTTCCCTGCCTCACTGTGACAGAGACCGCGCAGCCTTTCCGGTCAGCATCCCCCGAGCAAACCAACGAACCAGCACACACAGCTGGTAGTTCACAGCAGCACAATTATGGGAGCATCTGTGGTGGGCCTGGGAGGGAAGCAGTATTAGAAAACCGATCCACCATCCACACAGTGAGAAATGTCAGTTACTTCAGGAAAGGAGAACGTAACAGAGATAAGACCTCCAGGCGGCCTACCCAGGCCACGGTCCCTCCCAGTGTGCAGACTGAAGGCTTCTACCAAGAGGGTAGTGCCTGGCTGGCTTAAGGGAAAGCGGAGACTAAAACACTTTAACCTAAAACTGTTTCAAGCAGTTTTGCACTAAGAGCGCTCTCATCCATGCTGACGTTTCTGGAAATAAAAACGAGCTACAGCAGGGCAGGTAACTGGGAAAATGTTAAGATGTAAAGCCAAGTCAACTTAAGCTTAAAATGTCGCACATACACACAGAAGAACCTCGGAGAGCTAAGCTACTTAAGATCAATCCTTGTGCAACAACTCAGGGTAAAAACAGAGCCAGCTGGGACGCCGAGGAAATCCCTGTGCTTGGTGGAGGGTGGCGGGGCCTGAAGGTGGTTGGGCCCAGCCTGCAAACCATCACCACTGAGCAAAGATCACAGGGAATGGGGCCTCACCCAGGGCTTCAACTTACAGCTTTGAACACAAAACTGGCACCCTTCGCTCCCTACAGACAACCACTCCGACTAGGAGTGGAGCAGAAGACTCACAGGGATCCACTAGAGAACGGGAACAGATCCAATTTATAACCAAGGTCCCTCCCAGTGAGCAGACTGCAGGCCCAGACAGGTGGTCAGGCCGGCCACCTCCAACGAAAATGCCTTGGGAAAAGCCAAAAGAGCGCTCTGCTAAGCACCACTGTCAACTCAAAGAAAAGAACTCCCTTTTAAGGAAGCTATTTAGCTTCAAGAGGCTGCTTTTCTGCCAGGATTTTCAAGTCCTCTGAACATAAGCCGAAGCACAGACTGCTGCACGTACGTCTGGATCCTGCCCCCACCCCCCGCCCTGCTCTGGAGCTTCGGCACCAGTTGTTGGCCAAAAATAAACACCATTCCTCAACCATATATGTCCACCAGCCCAGAGCCCGGGAGGAGGAGGAGGTAGGTCAGGTCCCCGGGCTCCCGCCACACTCAACGTGGCCGCTGCCCACCATGCACATCACCCAGCTCAACCGGGAGTGCCTGCTGCACCTCTTCTCCTTCCTGGACAAGGACAGCAGGAAGAGCCTGGCCAGGACCTGCCCCCAGCTCCAGGATGTGTTTGAGGACCCTGCACTCTGGCCCCTGCTGCACTTTCGTTCCCTCATGGAACTCAAGAAGGACAACTTCCTCCTGAGCCCGGCCCTCAGGAGCCTCTCCATCTGCTGGTACTCGAGCCGCGTGCAGGTGTGCAGCATTGAGGACTGGCTCAAGAGCGCCTTCCAGAGGAGCATCTGCAGCCGCCACGAGAGCCTGGTCAATGATTTCCTCTTCCAGGTGTGCGACAGGTAGGCCACCTCCTGAGCCGCGCTGGCTTTGCAGGGTCTGGCTCCTACAGCTCTAGGAAACTTGGGGCGGGGGGTGCGGGAGAAAGCAAATTACAAGACCAAGATCCCTCCATACTGGGGAGCCTCAAACTAGGCTCAAGGCAGACCGTCCCAGCCTGTCCCCCGCACAGTCCCGGGAGAAGGCATACAGTCACGGGCGGGGAGTTGTTCTCCTCTTAGCCTCCCAGGTCCTGGAGCTGCTTCTGCTGCCAACAGAAGACCTGGGCTTCAGCTGTCGCTGTCCTTCGGGCAGCTGTCCTCCCTAGCAGCCATTAAGAGCTCAGAGGGTCCAGCTGAGCATAGATTTTCAAGGTCAGGCCCTGGGAAAGGTTCCTAGATTCAGCAATCAGCTTACCCCTTCTCTCTTCCCCTAGCAAACAAACTCCAGGACTTGTGGAACGCAGCTAAGGAAGGACAACTAGGGTGCGCTGGGTTAGCTGCACCAAGCCAGACTCCAGGAGGAGCGGTGGTGATATTTAAGAATGGTTTCGTCATTAGAATATTACTAATCCCAACATACCCATAAGGGAGGTTGTTTTAGCCTAATTTTTTCAAATGAGCAAATCAAAGTTTTGAGAGGTCATGTGATTTACCCAGTCTAGGACTGCCAGATTTTAGAAAATAGAAACTCAAGACATCCAGTTAAATTTGAATTTTGAACAGACAATTTTTTGGCCTAAGTGTGTCCCAAATACATCCTGTGTTTGATCGGTCAGCTCTACCACAGGTAGCAAGGCTGAGCCACAGGGACCCCCATGGTCCCGGCCTCCCGCCTAGGACAGCCCATGCAGGCAGACTTCTGCTGCCAGCCTCGCTCAGAGCTTCAACTGACCACTCCTGTCCTGCCTTTGAAGAAAAGCACCTCTTGATTACTAACAAACCAGGCCCAGCCAGCTTGCTGCCACCTTGGTTTAATAGCTGTTTGCTGGCAGCGAGACAGGCATGGAAGGAAACAGAGTGGTGGCCCCGACTTGCCCTTTTTTTTTTTTTTTTTTTTTAAAGGCAGTCAGAAGAAAACAAGATGGACTTGGTTGGGCCCTGCCTGGATGAGGCCATTCTGATGGGTTTAACAAGGCCCCTGAATCAGACTGGAGTGATCTAGGTGGGAGGGGCAGGCCTGCTCTGAAGCTGTTCTATTCTTGCTGCAAGAGAATTTAATTTCCCATATCAGCAGGTGTGGAGTGGTCCTCTCATGTCACCATGTGGGTGCAGCAAGGGCCCGAGTGTCACAAAAAGAAAGCGCTTGGTGGTAAGGGTTCTGTGCCGAGTCTCCCAGTTCTACTACTGTCCAACCATGGGACCCAGACCAAATATTTAAATCCGACCTAATTTCTTCATCTGTAAAATAGGATGAATCACCTATCTCAAAGACTAAGAGGATTAAATGACACAGTAGCACTGGCCCACAGTAGGTACTGATAACATCCATGAAATCTGGTTCTTTTAGCCATCAGCTCTTGACAGCGAGATAGGAGAAGCAAAGGATGGCAGGGAAGGAGTCGGCTCTTTCTCTGGCTTGTTCTACATCAGGGATTATTCTAAAGGTTCTTAGAACAAAAAGGGACCACTCAACATTAAAGGCCTAATCGTCATAACCACCCCAGAGCTAATAATTTCTCCCACTTGACAAATGAGGACTAGCACAGTTCAGACATTTGTCCTGGGTCAGAGAGCAAATAAGTCACAGGCCAGTCACCTGAGCCCTCTGAGCCAGTTTCTTCATTCATAAAACAAAGTGCAAGGGGTTTGATTTGAAGACTGAAGAAGCCATATGAACTTAAGAACTGGGAAGATGGGATGGGCTGTGTGAAAGGTGCCCCTTCCCTAGGCACGAGAGAGCTGGGCTAGCCCAGGCAGGTGCAGTCAAGGGGTTAAGGAGGAAGCTGATGGGGAAAAGCTGATGGCTCCCTCTATAGAGAGCCAAGGCCCCTGCACACAAGACAGGCCCCTCTTGACCGCAAGCAATCTGATCCGGTGTGCTTCTAGCAAAAGGGAGTTACAGTTGACTACAGAAGGTCCTGTCCAGGCTCTTTACACCCCAAATTTTGACCTTCACTATTTTTATTATTCCCTCCCTGCTGTGCACTCACACACACAGAGGGAAACTAAAGCTCAGGGAGTGACTTAGCCGAGGTCACACCAAAATAAGCCAAATCCAACTTTGCTCAAGATCTTTTTACAAGTGGCCTGACTGTACCCATATCAGACCCGGTTCTAGCCACTGCCTACTTGACCTCTTCTAGGCTGGCATCCCAGACGGCATGCAAGAACTGTCCCAGTTAACTGAGCAGAGAAACCAGAGCTCTAGAACCCAGAACCAGGCATACTCAGAGCTGTGCCCTGACCCCAGCCTCGAGGGTTCAACTGTGACTGTCCCTAAGCCACCCCATAAGAAACCCTTGCTCCCATCTGACTGACCATCCTGCCAGGAGCATCTGGGCCTCAGCTTGAAGCCAGCCTGGAGTGGTCACCACGCATCTTTTCCCGCACCCCCACCCCCCAAAGCAACAGGCCCGGAGAGAACTAAGAACACCTAGAGTTGTCCTCCTGGACCCTGCACCCCATCTGCCCACAGCAGGACCAGTGGCGGCTCAGGAAGCTAAAAGCCCACGCAGACTGAGGTCTGGTGGAGAGGCAGAAAGAGTAGGGGAAAGGGGACAGAAACCCCGGTTCTGATCCAGGCCGCGTCATCGCTGGCAAGTTTCTTCAGCAGGCTAAGTCCGTTTCACTTCCTTGCCCACTATATACGGAGTCGTGCCACGAGTCCCAGGGCAGTTAGGGAGCTCCCGGATCCCGGAGCTCCAGGGCGGGGCGGATGCCAACCGTACCCGCCATCGGCCCCCACCCTGGGCCACCGCGATCTCTCCGCAGGTGCCCCAACCTGGCGTCCGTCACGCTTTCAGGCTGCGGCCACGTCACCGACGACTGCCTGGCGTACCTCCTGCGCTGCTGCCCGCGGCTGCGCGCGCTGCGTCTGGAGAACTGCGCGCGCGTCACCAACCTAACGCTGGCCGCCGTGGCGGCGCACGGGCGCGCGCTGCAGACGCTGCACGTGGACTTCTGCCGCAACGTGAGCGCGGCCGGCCTGCGCCGCTTGCGCGCCGCGTGCCCGCGCCTGGCGCTGCGTGCCGAGCACAGCGCAGCCATGATCCCCGACCAGCTTCCCAGCGCGTCGTGCACGGCTCTTCGCAAGCTGCTGCCGCGCTAGGCTGACCATGTCGGGGCAGGACACCCAGGCAAGGGCCCCGAGCAGAAAGAGCGACCTGGTTTCCAACCCCAGCCCCAACACTTCCCAGACTGTCGCCACATCTCTGAGCCTCAGTTTCCCTCTCTGCAGAATGGGGACGTTAATGCCTACCTCACATTACGGTTTTACGCACAGGAGTGCGAGATTAACCGGATGCTGGGAAAACACTCGGATAGCCCTCACTAAACACCAGCATCTGTCCCGACGCCCTTCCGCCCCGGGCCTCTCGCCACTCGAAGTCCACAGCAGGCGAGGGGCTCACACCATCCCCCGCGAATGACCGCTGTCTGTGGCCGAAATAACCGCCATGTGTAGGCGTGGCCACCCGGTAGGGCGCGGGCGCAGGCGCCGTGGGGACAGGAGGGGGGCGGGGGAGGCGACTCCGGCTGCCGGCCGCGCGCCGCACGCTCAGCCCGCGGCCGCCGGTGTTCCCCACGCTGTACCAGTGGGCGGGAGGAGGGGGAAAGCCGGGGTTCACCGCCGGAGACAGCCGCCGAGCCCGCCACCGCAGCCTTGCCATCCGCGCCTTGGCTTGGCGCCCGAGCCAGCCCGTACACATGATTCTAGACAATTCGCTGTTGGATGTGATTCTTAACATAAACCACATAGTTCTAATTTTCTACCGTTCTCGTATCACAAAGACAGAAGAAATCAATTGAAAAAACCCGAAGTAAAGATTAGAAAACAAAAGCAGCAGCCTGGTTAAGTCCTTTGATAATGAAACCGCGAGAAGCGCACACAAAGATTTTTACCTGCTGGATTTGCTCAACGTGGGCACACTCCAGGACTTCAATTTCGGAGCTTTAGTCACTGATGTCCCACCGATAGTCACCAAAGTATAGGCTCCCGGCCACCCAGAAGAACTTCCGGCCCCAGGTACACGGTGAAAACTTGAGTGAGAAGGGAAAGCAGGGAGCACAGCGGGATGGTGGGCCGTGGGCCATGCTCCAGTTCCAGCCCCAGCTCCGCCCATCGCCAGCTGGGACCCTTAAGTCACCTGAGACAGGTGTTTCTTGTCTGGGAAAGGGGATCTGGATCCCTACTCACGGGTTGCCCAATACTGGGAAGCCAGCAAGGAAAAAAAATTCCAATTTCGTGGTAGGAGAAGAGACAGTAAATTATTGGTATATGGGGGTGGCGGGGTGGGGGGTGGGGGTGTTGGTGCGGGGAGCACCAGGTAAGGGGCTAACTGGCAATTGCCGGTGAAGCTTTGGGGAGGGGAAAGGAACCTAAAAGGGGTTGATCAACGTGCCTCACCACATGCAGTGAGGGAGGGAGCTGAGCGGTATCTGGCAGGGAAACAGTCCAGGTGCAGGGAATAATAGCTCATGCAAAGGCTCCAAGCAGGAGCATGGCGAGTGAGTTAGGGGAGGCCAGGAGATCAGTATGGCTGGAGCAGGGTTAGTGAGGAGGAAAGGGGAGCAGGAAATATCAGAGAACTAGGCATGTGGGTGGCTGTAGAAGCCTCACAGGTTACTCTGAGCATGAAATGAGAGCAGGAGAGCACCCACCCCAACCTACCCCCCAGCAGAGAGGATTGTCAGGGGAAGGCCAGAGGAGCTGAAATTTCTCCAGGCAGAATCTGTGGGGTGGGGGGCAAGCAGCAGCCCACCCTACCCCAACCCCTCCAGGCCTGTTGGAGGCCTCACTTATGGCCCTAGACCCCTTTGTTGGGCCAGTGCTAGGCCCAGAAGCAGGTGGGTGTTGGCACTGAGGCCTGGCCTGGCATAATCCCTTCTCACCCCTGTGTGGGGAGAGCCAGCCCCCTCAGGCCGTCAGCTGCAGTGGAATGGGAGGACCCCCACTTTCTCTGGGTGATTTTCCAGTTTACCCACCATAGTTCCGGACTCAGGAAAGAGGCCTTGCAGGAATTTTATTTTGCCCCTACTAGTACTGCAAACAATGTTGAAAGAAAGCTTAGGCTTCCAGGGGGATAAATGTTTATTTAAAACAGCACCACTTAAACCCCAGGGCTTTGCTTTCATTATTTCTGATAAGTCTGTATTCCCAGCAGGTCCTGTTTGCCCTGAGTTGATGGTATAGTCTGGGGGACAACAGAACCCTAGTTTCTGACTCTCCTCTGACTGAGAGTCGGTCAGTCCTCTCCAAACCTCAGCTTTTAAATCCGTGTATTGGGATTGCTGGAGAATCTTGCTTACAGGGTCCTTTTAAGGATTAACAATGTCGTGTTTGTAAAGCCTTAGTCATTGCAAGTTCAGGTCAAATAGGTTAACCTGAGACCCCTTTCCCTTTCCCCATGGAAGCTCTTTTATAAATGAGGGCTAACTTCCCTGGTGAAGCCTCTGGCTCCCAATAAACCCCCACATACGGAGGCTCTAGCGATCACAGACCTAAAGCGGTGCTGATAGGCCATCCAGCACTGTTTCTAGAGCTTGAATCCAGCCCCGCCCCCTCCGGGGCGCTTTGGGTCCCTGAGCCAAGGGCCATCCAAGGTACACCCAGAAGGCAGGCCCTGATGAGACCCAGCGCTCTCCACTCTGCCTTCTGACAGGTGCTGTTCACATCACTCGGCACCGAGCAGAGCCCTGGACAGAACACAGAGCCCGGCTTCATCAGAGACCGTGCTCAAAGTCTTCTCTCGGATCCGAGGAGATCAAGGGGTGTCCCGTGCTTCATGAATCCACTGACTCATTCAACTGGGGTTGAAGGGAGTGTTGAGTGCTCTGCAGCTCTACCATCCATCACTTCTGACGGGTTATGACCTCTCAGATCCTTAGTTTATCACTAAAACAGGACCAGTACCCTCTCTGTAACACTCTGGTGAGATGATGTATAAATGTGCAGTGACTGGAAGGCTGGGGTAAGGAAAAGGGGTCCGCACATCCATGGGGGCCTAGAAAAGCCAAGTGCCTGGCAGAACCCACAAGGCCTAAGTACTGGGAAGAAGCAGGCTGGGTCCGTATGGGGGTGATCCAGGAACACTCAATGGAGGGCTGACCCCAGCTCCCACAGGGTCTAACTGTGGGTGGGGTGTTCCTTCCCGCAGGCACAGTGCAGCAAAGGCAGAGTCAGAAAGCCTGAGGCCTGGGGAAGCCAGGGCAGATGGGAGCCCGTGCTCCAAAGCCACTGGCGAATGGCTTGGACGTTACTGTGTCCTCGCAGCCTCTATTCAGTCTATAAACTTTCCCAGCTCCTGAATGCTCCTTTCATTCTGTGTCTGGCCAAGGCAGCCAGTGGCCACAGAGAGGAAGAGCTGGGAGCGGGTGCGGAACCTCAGCGCCAGGGCGGGACGGTGCTCCTGGGTGGAAGGCGGACAGCAGTCACCACACCACGCTGGGGAGCCTGCGCAGGAAGCTCAGTACCACATGCTCCTGGGTCAGGGGCTCTGAGTCACTCCTTGGGAGGCGGAGCCTGCTGGAGGGACACGGTGCCATGAGGCTTGTCTTACAGGGACACACTGGCCCGTTTCTGCTCAGGCTGATATTTGTGGAGGGGCACTAAGCTCCCTTGGGACTACTGTCGTTGGCAGGCGTGCGGACAGGAAGCCAGGGCTCCTAGCTCTAGCCTGTACATGCCCGTGATCCAGCACTTGCCCTCTCCTGACCTCAGATTCATGGTCTGAAAGAGGAGAGGTCACCTGACACCTTGGCTCTAGGGTTCCTCTAGCTCTAGGATTCCATGCCCAACACTTGCTTTTTGCTAAAACTAAATGCACCAGATGTGGGTTTCATCTGATGGCAGTGTTGGGCAAAGGCCACAAAACAGGAAGGCCCAGAACAAAGCTGTCCTTTTTTTTTTTTTTAAGGTGGGGGGTCCAAGTTTTCTGGGAGTTCTTTAAGGGTCATAAACATTGCAAGTATTTAACTGAATGATCCAGCAAACAAAAAAACTGCCCAAGCCTCCACAGAGGGGCTGAAAATGAACTAGGGAAAATAAATACCTGTGCCAGGCCCGTCGTTTGAGCGGGCTGCCAGGCTGACCCCGGCCCTGAAGCACACGGCAAGCAGCAGCCTGTGGTGGGAACTGGCTGTAGACCAAGACGCATGGCTCAGATGCCTTGCCCTCTTCCTGTTCCCACTCCCAGCAGCCAGCACCTTCACAGCTGCTTTCATGATGGTCCTTTATTCCAGAACCACACACTCACTCTGACACATCTGACAGGCACACTGGCCAGGGCCCTCAAGGGCTGGGTTCAAGCACCAAGAGTGTGACCCCTCCCCCAGCCCCCCGAACAACTCTGCACCATCCACCATTCAAGGCTACGAAAGCCACGCACTGGTTCTCATATTAATTCGCACATTCACTCGCTTGTTCTCGTGGTCGCCCATTCGTTCATGCTGAATGCCTACCTGCAACGGTGGTCCCTGCTGCACCCCTCGCCCTCCTGCAGAGACACGCTGTCAACTACCCTCTTCCTGAAGCCCACCACTGGCTCGTCACACGCAGCGCTGGAATCCCACTCCTCTGGTTAGCCTCCTCTTGGCCCAGTGGGGCTGCACCCCATACTAGGTATCCTGGGGCCACTCAGGACAGGCTCTCACTATCCGGTTACAGTCCAAACCCAGCTGCAGAGGAGGAGGAAGGGGTTGCTGAGGGGAGGGGGCACAGGGCTGATGCAAGGGCCCTGGGGTGAGGGAATGAAGTAGGACACCCAGGATGACAGAATAAACGAAAGGAGGGGCCTCCAGCTCCCAGCTCCCACTCGAGCTGCTCTGTCATCTCGAGACAAGCACAGCTCACTCTCAGTGTGAAGGAGTGCTTCTGATGGGCCAAACGCCGTCAGTGAGACTAGCTCGAAAGCTCATTCCTTCTCAGTCAGAAGCTCCACTGGAGTTAAGAAAAGCAGCCCACGCTCTGGTTCCTGAATTGGCTTTATTTCTCTGCATAAGGAACCCTGCACAGGCAATTCAAATTAAAACAAAATAAATATATGAATATTCATGTAAAACTGTCCTTTCTAATGAACAATTATACACAATGTACAATTTCATGTTCACTGGGTGGGTTTACAAAATGTACCATTCCCAACTAAAAATGCACCAAAATGGTTCCATGCAAACTTATCAAAAGTGACCAAAAATGTGGAGGGAAAAACCTGACTGAGAGCACTTTGTCTTTTTTTTTTGTACAATCACAGAAAAATAAAAACATCTAATT